CAGAAATCTCATTTCATTAAAACATTTTATAAAATAACTACAAACTTGACTGATACACTGCTGAAACCTACATTTAGAACATAACAATCCGGGTGCGGCGATGGCGTAGTGGTTAGAACATCCGCCTCGCATGCAAGAGGTCCGTGGTTTAAATCTCGGTGCCACGCAGTTCCCAACCGGAAAAAAAAAAAAAAAATCCGCGTGTTGATGGAACTGCATTAAGAGGCCTGGGGCGCGGCCTCACCGGTAACCACCGCCGGGAACGCACTCCCTCACCAGAGAACGATTGGTCACCCTGGTGCAGTATCTGGCCACTACCTCCCACATGCATACGTCAAATAACTCACGGCCCTCAGTCCCCAGCAGCTGCGAAGCAAGTGACTACGGCGGCGGTCAGATCTGCAACGCAGCAGAGGGTGCTAAGAATCTCTGGACTACAGGCCGCCATTGGAACCTGAACTTGGCAACGTTTAACGCTAGAACCTTATCTAGTGAGGGAAGTCTAGCTGTACTATTCGAGGAGCTAGAGGGTGTTAAATGGGATATAATAGGGCTCAGTGAGGTTAGGAGAACAGATGAGGCCTATACGGTGCTACAGAATGGGCACGTCCTTTGCTATCGGGGCTTGGCAGACAGAAGAGAACTGGGAGTGGGGTTCCTAATTCACAGAAACATAGCTGGCAACATAGAGGAATATTATATTATTAATGAAAGGGTGGTAGGTATTGTAATTAAACTGAATAAAAGATACAAGATGAAGGTAGTACAGGCTGACGCGTCTACATCCAGCCATGATGACGCTTCAGTTGAAAGCTTCTATGAAGACGTGGAATCGGCAATGAGTAAGGTAAAAACACAGTATACTATAGTGATGGGCGACTTTAATGCAAAGGTAGGGAAGAAGCAGGCTGGAGACCAGGCAGTAGGAGATTATGGCATCGGTACTAGAAACGCCAGAAGAGAGCTACTAGTAGAATTCACAGAACGCAATAATTTGCGGATATTGAATACCTTCTACCGAAAACGAGGAAACTGCAAGTGGACATGGAGGAGCCCTAATGGCGAAAATAAGAACGAAATAGTCTTTTTAATGAGCGCACACCCAGGCATCGTGCAGGATGTGGAAGTGGTTGGCAAGGTACGATGCAGTGACCATAGAATGGTACGGTCTCGAATTCGCCTAGACTTGAAGAAGGAACGACAGAAACTGATGCGCAAGAAGCCAATCAATGAGCTAGCACTGAGAGGGAAAGTACAGGAATTCAGAGTGTCGCTGCAGAACAGGTACTCGGCTCTTAGTGAGGAAACCAACCTTAGCATAGATACAATGAATGATAATCTGACAAGTATCATTACGGAGTGTGCAGTGGAAGTTGGAGGCAGGGTAGTTAGACAGGACACTGGCAAGCTTTCCCAGGAAACGAAGAACCTAATTAAGAAGCGTCAAATCATGAAAGTGTCAAGTACAACAGACGAAATAGAACTGGCAGAGCTTTCGAAGTTGATTAATAGACGTAAAGTATGCGATGAAAGAAGGTATAACATGGAGAGAATTGAACACGCTCTGAAAAACGGAGCAAGCTTCAAAGCAGTGAAGAGGAAACTTGGGATAGGCAAAAATTCGGATGTATGCACTAAGGGACAAAGAAGGCAAAATAACTACCAATATGGATAGGATAGTTAAAATAGCGGAGGAGTTTTACAGAGATCTGTACAGTAGCTGAGACAACCACGACCTTAATACTATAAGAACTAGCAGTAACCCAGATGACACCCCACCAGTAATGATAGAAGTTAGGAAAGCTTTGGAGAGCATGCAAAGAGGCAAAGCTGCTGGTGAGGATCAGGTAACATCAGATCTGCTGAAAGATGGAGGACAGATTGTGTTAGAAAAACTAGCCACCCTGTTTACGATGTGTCTCCTGACGGGAAGGGTACCAGAGTCTTGGAAGAACGCTAACATCATCTTAATACATAAGAAAGGAGATGACAAGGACTTGAAGAATTACAAGCCGATCAGCTTGCTCTCTGTAGTGTACAAGCTATTTACAAAGGTAATTGCTAACAGAGTAAAGAAAACATTAGAATTCAATCAACCAAAGGAACAAGCAGGATTTCGAACAGGCTACTCAACAATTGACCACATTCATACTATCAATCAGGTAATAGAGAAATGCTCAGAGTATAACCAACCACTATACATAGCCTTCATAGATTACGAGAAGGCGTTTGATTTAGTATAAATATCAGCCGTCATGCAGACACTGCGGAATCAGGGCGTAGATGAAGTATATATAAACATTCTGGAAGAAATCTACAGGGGATCAACTGCTACCATAGTGCTTCATAAAGAAAGCAACAGAATACCAATCAAGAAGGGTGTAAGGCAGGGGGACACAATCTCCCCAATGCTATTTACCGCGTGCTTACAGGAGGTTTTCAGAAGCCTAGAATGGGAACCAGTTAGGGATAAGAGTTAATGGAGAATACCTTAGTAACCTGCGCTTCGCCGATGACATTACATTGCTGAGTAACTCAGGGGACGAATCGCAACTCATGATTACAGAATCAGACAATGAGAGCAGAAAGGTGGGTCTTAAAATTAATCTGCAGAAAACGAAAGTAATGTACAACCACCTCGGAAAGGAGCAGCGCTTCGAGATAGGTAATAGTGCACTTGAAGCTGTAAAAGACTATGTCTACTTAGGGCAGGTAATAACCGCAGAGCCTAACCACGAGATTGAAGTATCTAGAAGAATAAGAATGGGGTGGAGCACATTCGGCAAGCAATCTCAAATTATGACAGATTGATTGCCATTATTCCTTAAGAGGAAGGTATATAACAGCTGTATCTTGCCGGTACTTAGCTACGGAGCAGAAACCTGGAGACCCACAAAGAGGGTTCAGCTTAAATTGAGGACAACGCAGCAAGCAATGGAAAGAAAAATGGTAGGTGTAACCTTAAGAGACAAGAAGAGAGCTGAGTGGATTAGGGGACAAATGGGGGTTAAAGATATCATAGTTGAAATAAAGAAGAGGAAATGGACATGGGCCGGGCATGTAGCGTGTAGACAGGATAACCGCTGGTCATTAAGGGTAACTAACTGGATTCCCAGAGATGGAAAGCGGGTTAGGGGGAGACAGAAGGTTAGGTGGGCAGATGAGATTAAGAAGTTTGCGGGTATAAATTGGCAGCAGCAAGCACAGGACCGGGTTAACTGGCGGAACATGGGAGAGGCCTTTGTCCTGCAGTGGACATAGTCAGGCTGATGATGATGATGATGATGATGATGATGATGATGATGATGATGATGATGTGTGACACCCCAGGGCTAATAGCATCTCGCGCTTCGAGTCCGCTTCTTCTTCATCGATTCGTCTACGACGGCGGAGCCATGCCCACTGCCTGGTAACAATATGTAAAGGTTGTATACTATTCTTCTGATGCAGCTGTGCAGCTATTGGGTCGGTCATTGCTTTGGCAATGACCGACCCAATAAGCAAGGTGATTGTGATTCCCAACTCGCCATCTGAAATTTTCACGCGGGCCGTATCTCTACACAGGCTTACTCAATCATAAAGCATCACACCCCGCCTGTCTCACCTCGTTTTCTTATCTGGGCCCCAGCTCATGAATCCCTTAGTGGAAATGCGCAGGCACACACTCTCGCCTGAGATCTCAACTGCCGGGAGGAGTTCCTTACGCCTTACACTTCTCATTTTTCGCCCTCCCAGGCCTGTAATGAACTAACTCCTTTGGTCACTTACACAGACATTCTACAGCACTAGAGACTAGGATGTCTCCGCTATAATCCAGCTCATAAAGACCTCCCTCAACGTGATGCCGTCCTGTGGCGCAAGCTTCAGACAGGTGTCTTTCCCAACCCCTGGCTTTATAGCAAGGTACACCCACACCTCGTGACACCACTCTGTAAATACTGCTCACAATAAGCCACCCTCATACACATGACATGGACGTGCCCACAGTACGCTGACGCTTCTCACACAGAAGATACGTGGGAGTCCCTTCTGCATATCACTGTCTCGGCACAGCAATGCCGGGTAATCTCACGTGCATTGGAGGCCGCGGTGTCCCAAGGGATCCCCGCTGACCTCCTCTAAGCAGCGTAACCGACCTCTCGACTGGTCCCCTTTTTTGGGAGTAATAAAGTTTTGATCATCATCATCAGCTATGCCAAAATAAAATGAAAATGCTGACTGAATGAGACTTCTTAAACTTCAGTTAGTCTACTGAAAAAATAAAAATAGGAGCTTTAAGACCCAAGTCTTCTTGTATGGTATCTGTCGTGTTACAAGATGCATTGCTCTACCTTGTCGGTAGAACAATGCCATTTAGATGTGAGGAGAGAATGAAGCATAACTTGGCAAACAAAATCTTTAAAAAATATTTTAATAGATATTGAAACTTAATTTTTTACCGTTATTTCTCATTCATGGTCTAGTTTAAAAAATATTTTTTCTTCCTTTCCCCTTCCTGAGCCAGAGTAAGGGTGGGCAGAATAATGCAGGCCCACACAAATATACCAAGCATACTATACATAAGTGAACTGGGGATCCTTGTCAGATATATAAAAGAGACTACTGGAGTGTCCATTTTAAACTCATAGTGAATAAGTTCTACTGTTAGCACTCCATCACTAGTACTCTTATAAGTGCATGCCTGTTTCATTGTTGCAGCTTTTGTAATGAGAAGCCACTTTTTTAAGTTTCATGATCATGTTTTGCTTTTATAAAATTATTTTGTACTAATTTAATTTTCTTACATTTGACAGAAGGCACACAGGAAGAATCAGAAACAATGAAATCCTGATAATATAATACTAGTTGCCAGGGTTGCTTTTTATGAAGAGTAAAGGTGCTTGAAGAAGCAAAAAAATTTTTGACTGTTGTCTTTGGGCTTTTTTTAGTCTTTTGCATAATAATTACCAATATACTAATATGCCATCTAGCATGACACTTCAGTCTTATCTGTTTTACAGGTTTCACAAAGCCTACTGAGTATGGGCTCTGAAGCTTTGGAAGGAATTGCCTGTTGTCCATGTGGCTCTCACGTTTTGGATGCATTTGTGCGAAGTGACCATGTGAAGAAAAAAAGCAAGGAAGAACTTGTTAGAATGCTTAGAGTGAGTATATGACTCTGTGCCCTACATCAGCATTTGTGCCAGCTTCCGAAAGCATAGAATAGACTCTATGTGCAAGTAGGTCGACGATCATATGGTAACTTTGCTTCTTTGGATTTAACGTGCAGCTGTTTAGTACTGGTTCGTGAATTAAATTTTATTATTTTCAACATTTCATACCTGAAGATTTTTCTGTTTTTCAAATGTTCCTCCCTGGTCTGCTACTAAAGTAGCAGCAAGTCGTCCTACGCATGGAACTAAAAAAATCATCAGAACTATTCAGATCTATACCTCTTAATTGCTAAAGTGGTCTACTAGTGACTTTTATGAGAGAAATATTCGTGGTTCTGGACCTAAAGTATGTTATACATGTGTAGTAGTATCGTTAAGAAGGAATATTGGATGCCAGTGTATAGCATGACATGAAAATTTTTCGCCAGGCCTGTTCAGTCCAGTGGCATGATGGCTGCATCAGTTGTGCCGAACTGCGCCAGATGAAACTTGTTACATGCTGCAACTTTTTTTTTTCTAAAATCTCGTAATTTGCATTGAGCGTGTGCTAGAGAGTTGTTCTGCGACCTTTCAGAGAAAAGGAAGGCTGAACATGGTTGTAAACCATATGAGAGCTAACATTGTAATTTTGAAAGGTCATTGGAGCATTCTGACATGCACTATGTAGTTCAATAAATAGCTAGACACGAACTTGCCAAACTATTCAGACTTATTCATACAGTGCACATAAACCTTTCTACTACTACTAGACCATAGCGTATTACATTATTGAGCTCAGTAAAGTACTTTCTAACTGTTCTGGACCAAGCTACATTGAGCAGCATACGCATGTGCTTGAATAGACCATTTGATTATAGTTTGTTTGCTTTGCAAAAAAGAATTGTACTTCTTGTTATGAGATAGTTCAGTTCAATTTCTTGCAGGCAGCTTAATTTTTTAGTTGTGTCAGACCATGCAATCACCGGACATTATCAATAATACCACTCTTTGCAATGAGAGAGAGAGAGAAAACATTTATTGAAAGAACATTTATTGCAATGAACTGGGAAGTTTTGGTGAGAAAGCATGGTGTCCTAGCATTCTGGTTCTGTTTCTCGACTACAGTGACAGTTCAAATGTGAAAATTTGCTCAAGTTAAATATGAAGCCTTGCATAATTGCAAATTTCATGGAGTACAAATTAGATTTTGGGCACAAAAGACCATTTTATTGAACCATGTGTTTTAGCAACAGACCATGAACCAGGATCCTCAAGATTCTCTCCTAAAGCACACACAAGCGCTTCACCCCTCAGCGAAGCCCTAGGTTGTTCTAAAAGTATGAACGTCACCAGAATAGTCTTTCTGAATAGTAAATAAGGTGCATAAAAATTTCACACAGATTGTACTTCCAGCACTGTAATTGAAGCATCAGGGAAAGTGTATTCATTCACAAATATCAAGCACCTTAGAAATTCATTCACAAATATCAAGCACCTTAGAACTGTCTTCAGAAATATGACGAGAAGTAACATAATTTTGTATTTTGGGGTATTTCATGTAAACATGCATGTATTTGTGTGTATAATGATTTTGTTAAACATGTAGTACAATTGATCAAGCTTAGAGACAAATGTTTGCATGAGAGAATGTTGGCTTGATAACTGCTCCGGGAGGTTATTATGCTGGCCGAAGTGGCTTCAATTGATCACATCACTGTAAGTTTGTTAGCTCAATTTTATTGTCTTTCTTAAAAAATATTTTTGATATTTTCATAACAAATATACAGACACTTGAGTGTCACAAAATATTCTTAATTTTAAGCAGTAGCAATAATGGTGTGAAGTACTTAATCACATGGAACTGTATTGTTGTTGCCAGTTGATTCTGTGGAATCCCATTATGTGGTGAAAGGATTTAGAAAGAGAAATTCACAACCACCTGTTAGTAACATGAAGCAGAAAAAAAAAAGAATAAAAAAAAAGGAGGATGACCTAATTTTTAGGTCTGTTGGTCCCATGATGCCAATTTCCCATAGGTTGGTGCTCTCCAAAGTCACTGTGTACTTTTTCTACTCCAAACCTGGCCAGAAGTGCGCTTGTATGGACTGTGGGGATCAAAACATAGGAGACCACGGGAGCGCGTGTCGAATAGCACCGTGGTGCCTTCTCACGGCTACCAGAAAAGCTCGAGGGCGTACACTCGCAAGCGCATCCTTTTCTACCTGCTGGCCTGCGCTTTCGCTCCCTTCAACTAACGCGTACACCGGAACGCCAGAAAAATCACAAGGTGTCGCTTTTGCAGGCGCCGCGGAAGCATCGAGTGATGATATCGGGACAAAATATCTAACGTGTAATGGCAGTGCACGGTGCGCACAAGGGGTGCACCCCTTCTGCGCCTTGGTTCCAGACGCTTCGCGGCGGCAAGAAAACGCACATTACGTCTTTTTTTTTTTATCGACACAAATGATAAGAGTACCAAGCAGTGCTGCCTCTTGGTGAAGCACTCCATTACAGTGTAACACTTCTAGTACACTCTAACTATATATGGCAATGAAATTTTGATTGTCTTGTGGCTTCATGCTACAAATGAGTTATTGACTTCTTTCCATTTTCTAACTCCATATACATGTTTTCACCGCGGTGAAATGTCTGGAACAAAGGCAAGGAAGTGGTGTGCACCAAGGACTGCCACTACAAGTTAGATATGTATTTGTTGCGATATTATAACTCGGTGCTTCCGCAGCAGCTGCAAAAGTGACACCTTGCGATTTTTCTGGCATTTCGGTGTGCACGCAATTCAAAGGAGTGAAACTCCAGGCTGGCAAATAGAAAAGGATGCCCCTGCGCAGTGCGCTCTCTCTCGAGCTTCTCTGGTAGCCGTGAGAAGGTGCTGCGGTGCTGTTCGCCATGCGCTCCCGTGGTCTCCAAAAGTTTAATCGCCACAGTGCCTATGTACCGGTAAGCACCTGGTGGCAGCAATGCTCTGCCTCCCACTGCAGCATAAGATGCTCAACTATTTCACCAAGGATGCAGTCGGTTAAGTTGTGCTCAGGACCCTTTATGGAAAATTATGAAGCCACTTTTTGAGAGAAGTACCCAAGAATAACCGTGCACCAGATCGGTGTGCTCCTCTACCCTTCAGCAAAAAACTGGTGGGTTTCCAGTTGGCACTGGGAATCAAACCCAGTACTTACTGCATTGGAAGCGGATACTCAACCATGTAACCACTGCTGCGGTAAAAAATTTCATTTGCCACAGCCTTGGTCAAATAGTCTAGCATCCGCTGCTCCTGTGGGAGTCGGAGAATTGCGGCCACTGAGTACCTACTGGTGGAACATGGACAAGTACACTTCCGGCTTGGTGCTCGGCAAAATGAAATGCACAGTTGTTTGTGTAGGACCCACACTGAGGGAAATTGGCAGCATAGGGCCAACCAACTCTGGAATACTATACCTTCAGGAATAAAAGCCTCGGAATCAATCGGCATATTCAAAAAAGATATGAAGACTTTCCTCTCATCCATTCCATTATCTGGATATTTTAGGTGACTTCTATTACTCCCGCTCCCTTTCATGCTTTCTCACAACCTAACGTTAACAAATCATCACATCGTCATCCTACATTGCTGATATCAGATGTCACTGTTTAGTTTTATTTTCTCGTAGTTTATTTTTACTATCTTTCACCATGGTAATTATCTGAAAACTACTTAGGAGAGTTGAATTACTTCTATTTTTTATGTTGTCTCATTTCAGTTTTTGTTGCTGCTTTCTGCTTATGTTTTTCTTAAGTAGAACTTTCTTTTCGTTTTTACCTGTGATGTATTTCATTACCTGTTTTTGTACACTGTTTGCGGCATCAGTTAATTTTTTCTAAATTCACTACTGTAGGAGGTCCCGATTCAGTCTCTGACTATGGGACCTCCTCCTGTATGCACAAATTGTTGTAATTGATTCGATTACAAAATAAAACCATTTCTGATTTCTGAAACTTAAAATTAAGGTCATCTTTTTTTGTTTTTATGACAACTAGGAAGCTTTCTTTCCGAGAAATCTATATAGATTTCCTTGTGGCTTTGTGCTACGAACGGGCATTGTCAATTTCTATTTTGGAAATGTATTGCAAAAGTTGAAAATAGTTTTGTAGCTTATTATTTTACTATTATTAATTTCCTGTAATCAAAAAGACTTGGTTTAAAATGATGTAGTTACTTTCCTTCTATTTGTTTCTTAATTTTAAAACTTTGCTAGCAATATTAATGAGGGATTTATTTGGTCTAACTATTGTTACAAAGGATGTTGCTGCAGCTGAGACTTGTCTTGGTGCTCTCATTGCTATTCAAAGCTTTGAACATCTTAATTACTATAGCAACATGGAGGGAGACACAGATTGAGCTTCAACGGGCCTTTTGAAATCATTGCCATGTAAAGGTTCTATTTACAGTGCTATTTGGGGCTTTTGCTAGAGGCACCATTCATCATGTGCTTTGTGCAAAATTAGTCATTCATAATACAGCATGTCATAGGCAAAGACAAGCTGGCCCCGCCGCGGTGGTCTTGTGGCTAAGGTACTCGGCTGCTGACCCGCAGGTCGCGGGTTCGAATCCTGGCTGCGGCGGCTGCATTTCCGATGGATGTGGAAATGTTTAGGCCCGTATGCTCAGATTTGGGTGCACGTTAAAAGAACCCCAGGTGGTCGAAATTTTCGGAGCCCTCCACTACGGCGTCTCTCATAGTTATATGGTGGTTTTGGGACGATAAACCCCACATACCAATCAATCAATCAGACAAGCTGTGCATTAAATCGTCACATCTTTGTTTTGTATTTTTTCAGGGTCACTATGGAAGCCTTGCAGTGGACAAATATGGAAGTTGTTTTGTCATGAATTTATGGGACATTGTAAACTTGGCGCAAAAAACAGAAATTGCAGAAGAACTTTCTGACAAGGAGAGTGTCCTTGCAGCCTCAGCACATGGGAAGTTAGTCTCCAAAAAGCTTTGCCTTCATCACTTCATTCATCGCCGAAGTGATTGGGTTGAACTGCAGAAGAGTAACAAAAAGACATCGCTTCTTTTCCAAGACATTCTCAAAGAGAAATAAAGTCATTCCTAATTAAATCTCGTGTAACTTACTGTCAAAGTTCACACAGTATCAGCCTCATTAAAATATAATATACCCAGCATTGGGGTTTGGTGAACATACCAAACCAGCTCATTGAGAGTAAAAGTTTAGCTGAAAAATTAGATGGGGCTCTCTGGTCATTGCAACTTTAATTGTTCAATATAATATTTGACAGTTGAAGTAGTGTAAGAGATGTTGATATTCTGAAGAGCTTGCAAGAGATGGGGCAGAATGTGCACATGTAATTTTTTCAGAAATATAGCACCATTGACAACTGTTGATATCGTTAAAGTTTAAATCCTATGACGATTCAGGAGTGCCTTTGCCAGCAAACTTTTTGTTCATTCATAAGTAGGCGCATATTTCAGAGGTACAAAACAAATTTGTAACAAAAAACTCAAAAAACTGGCAAGGAGCTTAGTGCCACACACTATAATTGTGTATTGGGTAAAATAAAAACAGTTTGAAGGCGTAATAGGCTGCATAGTGCTGATACAAAAACTGCCAGGCTACCAGGAGTGGCAGAATTTTATGTACTTGTTACGTTCTCATGTACAATTATAAATTAAAAAGAAATGAATTCTCTTGGAAAGGTCACAAAGAAGAAATTTGCAAACTAGCATGATTTTGCAGTGACCTCAAGAGTAGAGCATACATGATAAAACATTTAGGTTGATGCAATACATGGTGCCAATTGGATACGTTTAATTCACCAGTATCTTGCCTCATGATATCATTTACTCATTACCTCTGTACCCAACCTTGTGTCTATATCGTATATTTACAATATGTATGCCCTGCAGTTGGTTGGTTAGTCAAACTTTATTAGTAGTCCTGAGATACACGACAAGTAGTGGGCTCCTCCCACTGCAGCGATCCCCACTATAATAATGTCCTTGTATCAATACTTAAGAAGGCCCTGAAACACTTTTTCAAGTAACCATGGAATGAATTCACTGGAAGAGCTTATTGCCTCATGAATTCAACACCACAACAATTTTTTGAATCTTTCTGGTGTGAGCGGAGTAACAAAGATTTGTCGCACGCTGCAATCGAATTCTCTTCTCTCTCGTCCTGACGAAAGCGCTGGAAGTAAGCAGGGAGGGATGGCAAGGGCAAAGAAAAATGTCACGGTCGCCTCGTGACCTTGAGTATTCCCCCTCCTTTTCCTTCGAATGCGCGGCTTTTTCAGTGTGATCGCGCGCACGCGTCCACAAGTCGCAGCCTCCCGCGTCGTTCTCTGTAAATATCGAGCGCACCATGTTAAAATTGGCCAATGGCTGATAAATGGGCTTTTACGAGTGATTTCTGAGCGTCCTCCGTGATTTGTCAAGAGAAGAGAAAGCAAAATTTAGCTGACTTTGATAATTTATTCTGAATCCCTGACCGCGTGCTGCGCTATAATATTTGGTTCACGTGTTGTCGAGAGCCTCTACTACCGATCGCCAGCGTTTTCTGACCACGCTCAAAAGGTGTTGCAGGGCCCCCTTAAAATTTAATACAAAAAGCATACACAAGTCTTATCACATATGCTATAAATGTAACACTCAGTTTGCTAAAGTTAAAACATCGTCTTTTTGTTATATGTGGGGTAGTTTTTGGTCAACTTCCTTAAATATTTTGGCCACATACGTTGCTATAGTTTATCATTTTTATTAACCATACACATTTCCACAGATTCTCCCCGCCGCGGTGGTCTAGTGGTACTCGGCTGCTGATCCGCAGGCCCGTGTGCTCAGATTTGGGCGCACGTTAAAGAACCCCAGGTGGTCGAAATTTCCGGAGTCCTCCACTACTGCGTCTCTCAATCATATGGTGGTTTTGGAACGTTAAACCCCGCATATCAATCAATTTCCACATATTAAAGAAGAACAGCTATTTGGGAAAGTTGGTTAAATTCCATTGTAATAAGGGTTGCAGCGCAAGCATGAAAGTGCTAGATGATGTCCGCATATTACTATGTTCCGGAGCAGTTTTCTTAAAAAAGCACTTTCAGTTTAAAATAATTTCGTATGCTAATACTGATATCAACTATGGAATCGTAAAAAATATCCTTCTAACTGTATTTATTTCAATTCACAGAAAATGAATGCAAACGTGTGTAGATGTGAGGTTCAACAAATTGCACCGGCCCGCACTGGCGGAAGATACCATTAGAATTAGAATTCCCGACAATACAACTGTAGTGGTGTTGCGCTGTTGAGCTCGAGGTCGTGGGTTTGATGCCGGCCTCAGAGAGCGCATTTCGATGCGAATTCGGAGACCGTATTCCGATGCGAGCACGCAAAAACGCTCGTATGCTCAAACCCGAAACTGAAACTGAATGCGTTTCTGGTCAACCTGGCGGCCGTGACATCAACGCTTTTGTGATTACGTCATTACGTTCAGCCACATTAACCTTCCAGCAATTATTTTTAAAACTTTATGATGTTTATGACCTGCAAAATAAAAAAATTGCGTAATTTTTGGTATTTTTACATGTTGTATTGTGTAAAAACATAAACTTTGAGATTGCTTCTGTAACAAATAAAATGTGTAACGCCTGCAAATTTAGACATTAATTAAACATTGACAACACCAATTACTTTATTATTTATTTGCTCTATTTGAGCACATAATCTAATGTAGTGCTTTTTTTTAATGTTATGCCCTGTCCTCTAGCGTATGAAATATGAAAACAGAGGATTAGTTTCTTCTGGTGCGCAGCGCAGCTTTCTGCTGCTTGTAAGAGCATGTAGCGTTTCGTAGCGAGGGGCAACTGGCGTGGTTTACCTGATGTAATGCACGTCTTCCGATTGTAAACTTGTGCAGTTGTGTTGTACGAGATTGTTTCGCGAGATGTCCATAAAGTGAGCAAAGAAATAATCTTAAAGAAGCCGGAGCGTGCCGTTGCAATCGTCGACTTAACGTGAAGTCTACGCTAGTCACGATGGCGAGCAGGTATCTTCAGATGGGAAGACGACTGGAAAGAAGTATTCTCAGATCGTGGCACGGACCGAGATTGTCTCGAAATGAGGTTAGTTGCTAAAAATTGCCCGTTGCTGTTGTTGATGTGCCGTCGTCGCTGTAGCCTTTCATCGGCGAAACGCCTGTTTACAGTAGTTTTATGACCTTGTATGAAACGTTTTGCTGGATACTTTACCGGCTTGTTTTCCACGCATAAAGAGACGGGCGAAATACACAAACAGTCCCCGAGTGTAAATGTTTGCTTGCATACTGGATGACATATGTATGCACTAAAACCAGTATAGTATGGGGGTATCTTGCCGCATGCGTTCAGCTGCAGGCAAGGTTTTGCAAAGCAAGTAGTTTTCGAAAACAAATCAATCGGAGGTCAAACAGTAGTGACAATTTAATTTATTGCCTTGACCAGTACTTAGAGTATGTGTGGTAGTTAGCATCGGTATTTTCATCGGAATCACAATTTTACAGGGTAAGCATGGAAAAAAAAAAAAAAAGTTTACGCAGCGAGTTTGTTTTTGAAATTGCGTGAGTGTTGCGGCAATGCACTCGTTGGCAATCACTAACCCAATTTGTGCGGGGATTAGTTATTACTAGTTTTTCGCAGAAGCTGTGCTCTGCAAGCTTTCAAAGGAAATGGATAGTATACCCGATTAAAGTATGCGTTGTTTCTCCTTCGTTTCTTAATTGCGCGTGTTATATATGTCTTGATGATCACTGCGCACGCATATTATGACAGGTGGGGAAAGGCAAAGTGAAAGAGCCTGGGCTGCCATCAGCCAGGTTTATTTTCGTAATAGTTTGAATATGTGCATTGGTAGAATGGAACAGGGTAAGGGATAGAGTCATCACATGATACTCATAATGCCATTCAAAACTGGACTTCTGGCTAGCTAAGGATTTTGTAGGTTGTACATGGCACACCAATGCATTGACAGTTATAAAGTGCAGGAACAGTATGTCAGCAGATACAAGATGTCTCTGTCCATTGAACTACCACAATTTTAATACTACAGCATCGCATGCCTTGAAAGGGATGCAAGCATGGAGATTATCCTAGTGATAAATTTGTTTGCCTAAATGGAGAAAACAAGTTTGTGAAGTGCCTAAAATATATTTATTTGATTGCTGGAAATTTCAATAGAAATTAGCCATTCGATCAGTTTTCTCAGCAACTGTAGCTACACCTTTGCATAATTTTTAACAATTACCTCCTGCATAGGTCTCTTTTATTATAGGCTCTCAATAAGTGCCATTATTTTTCCTCATTGTCAGCATGGCTTTCACAAATTATTCTTTTATTATATTCTTTCATTCTACTAGTAAATTGTCTATATATATTGAAGGTGGTTTTCTGACTTGTTGTGTATTTCTAGATGTATCTGAAGCATAAATCTGTCTAGCTGGAGTGGATGGAGCAGCTGTGTTTGCGATGTCATGTCTTCAGTTAGCAGTTTGTGACTGATATGTGATATTAGAGAAGGGACAGGAAAGAGCCCTGCATATGAAATGGGAGAACAGGAAAGACTGTGCCCATTGTTCTCTTATTTTGTATGCTGTGCTCTTTTCTCTCCGTTCTCTTATTTCATGTGTCGGTTGTTGCTGTTGCTAACCTCAGATTCATCCATTGCTGCTCGCAAATAAAGTGTGCCAAAAGATTGACCAAGCATACCTAACTGGAAAAAAGCATTCTTTTTTTGTTGTTTTAATTGGTTGTAACTAATAATTTTACTAATAATTTAGTAATTTTATACTAAGGTCTTCCTTATTTAAAATATGTATAAACAACTTAACCTGCAGAATTTACTCTCGATTGTGTTATCTATTGATGGTTCATATTTTGTTTAATTACTAATTACACTAGTGTATCGCTTTAATCTGATCTAAGCAGCATTCATGATAGGCCATTTACTTGGAGAACAGAACTGAAAGTAAAAAATGCAATTATGTGTATTCATCATTCTAAGATAGTTTGTGTACTTGAGCCCTCAACGACAGCCCTCTTCAATTAGTAGTGACCTAGGATTACCTTGGT